CAAAGTTAGAACTGAATCTATCACTCTGGATGAAATAGCTGATAACACTGAAAATACTTAGAATCCTTGGCATTATAACTGGAATAAGAAATTGCTATATACAAATCTAATACATAAAAAACCCCTCAAAATACTAATATTTTGACCCAGAGAACAAACATGTTTCCAGGAAAGTAGCTCATGCATATTATTGACATTTATTCTGTCAAGAAACTTGAGTTCTTGCTTTATAGGTCTCCTAATAGTGTAACTCCACGCAGTGTTTGCTTGCTCTGTTCTGATGACTGCCTCCTGGTCCAAGTATAACTCCATGCAGAACAGAGCAAGGGAACACTGCACAGCTCAAAATTGAAAAGGGTGTATGACAGGGATGTGTCCTACTTCCATACTTTTTCAATCTATATGCAGAACAGATTATTCAGGAGGCTGGGTTCTATATGGAGAAACGTGGCATCAGGATTGGAGGAAGACTCATCAATAATCTGCATTATGCAGATAACACAACCCTGCTTGCTGAAACTGAGGAAGACCTGAAGTGCTTGCTGTGGAAAGTCAAGGACTGCAGCCTTCTGTATAGATTGAAACTCAATATCAAGAAAACAATGATTCTCACCACTGGGCTGATTGGCAGAATCATAATGGATGGTGAAGGGATTGAGATTATAAATAGCTTTGATTTGCTTGGCTTCACAATCTTCACACTCTTGGCACCAGCAGACAGGAAATGAAAAGATGTATTGCGTTAAAAAAAAAAAAGAAAAACAAAGATGTATTGCGTTGGGAGAGTCTGCTGTCAGAGACCTCTCCAAAGTACTCAAAAGCAATGATGTCAAACTGGAGACTAAGGTGCACCTGATACAGGCCATGGTCTTTGCAGTCATTTGTTATGAATCAGAGAGCTGGGCAATGACTAGGGATGATAGAAGGAGAATTGAAGCCTTTGACCTGTGTTGGAGAGGAGTATTGAATATAGCATGGACTACTAAGAGAACAAACAGGTTCATCCTAGAGAGGATTAAACCAAGCTGCTCCTTCGAGGCAAGGATTCTGAAGCTTTGTCTGACATACTTTGGACAATTTGCAAGGAGGGACTAGTCCTTGGAGAGGGACACCATGCTTGGGTGGGTGGAGGGACAGGGAAGGAAAGAAAGATCTTTGATGAGATGGATTGGTTCAGTGGCTCGGGTAATGGGGGTAGGTGTGTCAGAGACAATAAGATTGGCACAGGATAGAGCAGGGTTTAGGACTGTTGTACATAGGGTTGCTATGAGTAGCAGGCAACTTGATGGCATATAACAACAACAACAACAATAGTGTAACACCTAATTTGTTGTTGTGTACTGTTGAGTTGGGACTGACTCATAGCTGATCCTCCAGTGGGTTTTCAAAAGCAGTAAATCTCTCAGGAGAAGCTTGAGCATTCTCCCACAGAGCTGCTGATAGATTCAAACCACATACCTTTGGTTTGATAGCACAATTCCTTACCAATAAGCCAACTCTGAATGTGGCCCTACTCCGTGCTACCGGTTCATTAACAAGATCAACGAAAACTGTGCTCACTTCGGCAGCACATATACTAAAACAAGATCACTACAACTGTATGCTGAAGCAAGGCACGGTGAAGACACTAGATGGAGCCTGGCTATCAAAAAGTGCTTTTTGGTTATTAGAAAATTTGAGGGTATTAAATGTTCCAAAACAAACCAATCTCTAAAAGAGCTGTTGACCAGTCAGTAGAAGGAAGTACCTCACTTATATGTCATCAAAAGATTTTAAACCAAAAATCTATGATCAAAAGGAAGAAAATGTATGAGAGTTTGAAATGAGAGTAATATAGTTTGTGCAAATAGAGAAGTTGAAAAACAGAACTTTAAGTCCATTTAAAAGCCTTGACATGAGTCTGGAATCCATGTTGGATTTTCCAAAGCCACCTTTTCTGACTGGTTCCTTTAACCTCAATGCTGACCTAAACTTATCCTCTTAAAAAAACCCCTTCCTTTTCTCCGTAGTCTGGCAGATGCAAAACCCACAGGGTATTGATGCACGGCATTATAGGTGCATATTTACAATGAGCCCTAGAAGCAGACACAATTGAAAAGGAATTTTTACTAATGCAACCCCAAACCTAATACTGTTGACTTGATCCCTCTGTCTGGTTTCTAAGGCTCGAAGTCTGTATAGGAGGAGACTGCCCTTCTTTCTCCCATGAAGCAGTTGGTGGATTTGGACCCCAACCTCTCAGCCAGTAAAAATGCACACACTCAACTCTCTTTGTGATATCAGAGTTCCTTGCTAATGTTGCTACTCTGTGCTGTCAAGTCAGAACTGCCTCACAGCTGGCTCCCATGGGTTTTTAGAGGCTGTAAGTCACACGCGAGGAGACTGTCCATCTTTCTGTAACAGAGCATCTGTTGGATTTGAACTGAATACCTTTCCATTGGCAGTGCAACTCCTTGCCACTCGGCCGTCGGAGCTTCCACCTTACTAACAGGTTACTAGATGATTTCCTAGTACCATCCCATAATAAACTCACTATCTACCTTTAACCAATCACACCATCTCATTTATGTGTTACACATCTGGCCTTGCCAAGCTCTCACTTCTAGTTATCATTAACTTTCCTGACGGTCTTCTAGTCAATTATGAGTTTTGTGACCTTTAGTCCTCATCCACTGGTACAAGAATGTGTCCTTTTCTAATTATGGTGAGGGGCCATTTCTGCTCTGTGACACGGGACCTTCCCTGGCCTGGACCACATCAATCCCTCAGCAGATCTCTTTTGCTTTCATTCAAGTGGACTCTGGGATGTTACTATAGAGCATCTTCCTGGGGTGAGTTCCTCATCCGAGAGACGGAGCTACTCCCAGTGCCTCGCAGAAGCTGATTGCGGGTGGATTATTGCCGTTACATGTAATTTATACAACGTCACAGGCCGTCATCCTGTAAGTCTCAGGATAAGACCTTGCAGGTGTAAACACCTAATAAAAGAATCCATCCGCCTCATACTGATCACCTGTAGCCAGATGGGTGCCAGAATTTTTTTGGATGTAAAAAGGTAACAGAAGGCATATTCCCGATTTTATTAAATACTCCCAGAAGGTGTTTATTCCACTCAGTGTGTAAATATTCACCCTAATTGGGATAAATAAAGGCTATAAATGGCTTCAAAGCTGGGTCACTTTGACATAAAACATTTGTGGGCTCTTTTTAACTCAGTCAAAGAAAAAACTGGCAACAGATACATTACTTCAAACTTAAGGGTTTTTCCTTACCCAAGAAACCTAAATTCAATGGTAAAAGCCTGAACCCCAAAACGGCAAAGCTTTTAACTTGCCTCACCCCTTGGCGTTAGGGAGTGTTAATAAGAAAGAACTCTGGTGGCCTAGGGAGTTGTGTTGCCAGTGCAAAGGAGCACAGTTTGAAACCACCATCTGCTCCTTGGGAGAAAGATAGGCAGTCTCTTCCTGTGAGATTTACAGCCTCTGAAAATCTACTTGGGAGTGGTGGTGTAAATTTGTACTTTATGAGTGTTTTTAATAGAGAAAAGGGACCATGGGGGGCGCCATAGTTAAGTGCTAGCCTGTAAACCAGAAGGCTGGTTGATCCACCCGACCAGTGGCTCTGTGGGAGTAAAGACCTAGCCATCTGCTCCAATTCAGATTGTTGTTGTTGTTGTGTCCCATGGAGTCAGAATCAACTCACAGCTGACCCTCCAGCAGGTAAAGTGTGACTCCCGCGGGAGGAGATGGCCCATCTTTCGAGGAGCAGCGGTGGATTTGAACCACATGCCTTTGGGTTGGCAGTACAACTCCTTACCACTAGGTCACCAGAGCTCCCTTCCGTTCAGATTACAGCCTGGGAAACTCTCTGGGGGCAGTGTTGCTCTGTTTTTTGTGGGGTGACCGAGAGGGTCCAGTCATGGGAAAAGGACATCATGCATGAGAAAGCAGAGGGTCAGCGAAGGAGAGGAAGGTCCTCGGCAAGCTGGACTGACACGGTGAGGGCACCAACTGGTCGAAGCAAAGCCTAGACTGTGAGGCTGGCACAGGACCGGGCACCCCTTTGGCCTGTTGTACTTTGGCTGCTGTGAGTCAGATCCCACCTGATGTTCCCTAACAACAACAAGAGAGTCCAGAAGGAGCCCTGGTGGCAGAGTGCTTAAAGCAGTTGGCTGCTAATTGAAAGGCTGGTGATGCAAATTGACCAGCCTGCTTTGCAGGAGAGAGATGTGGCAATCCACTGCGAGAAACATTTGTTGTTGTTACGTGCATCGAGTCACTTGAGACTCACAGCAACCCTATGGACAACAGCCCTAAACACTGCTCTATCCCTTGCCAATCTTATTGTCTCTGACACACCTATCCCCATTACCCCAGTGACGGAATCAATCCATCTCCTGAGCTGTCCCTCCACCCTCCTAAGCATGACGTCCCTCTCCAAGGACCTAAGCATGACATCCCTCTCCAAGGACAGGTCCCTCCTTGCTTCATGTCCAAAGTATGTCAGACGGAACCTCAGGATTCTTGCCTCCCCTGGAAACTCTGTGGGACAGTTCTACTCTGTCCTACAGAGTCACTGTCACTTCAAATAGACTGCACTGCCGTGGACAAAAAAAAGTTTCCTTTTATGAGTTCTCTTGAGCCAACAGCACACAAGAACAATGGGGAAGAATGGGAAGGAGGGCTCTGCACATCGATGGAACGCTGCAAACCCGGTTGTGACAAGCGTGCTTGCTAATCACCAGTCAGTTCAGAGTTCATCTAACAGAACAAAACTTATGAGTCCATTTCCTTAGTTGTGAGTATTTTGTAAACAATAATTATGATTAACTGGGTCCTCCAGCCTCAGTCTTTTCGTCTGGAAAGTGGGGAGGGGAGGTCCATGGGCTCCCCACTGAGTACAGTACACAAGAATGACCTTCCCTGCCAGGAGATGAGGGATCGTGAGCAACCCCATCCCTGGGAGTGGACCTGAACAGGTCTCACTGGTGACACTCTTACCTCCCTCAGGCCCCAGCTGGACAGAGTGCGACTCACGCAGGATCTCGGCCACCGGCCGGCGAGTGTAGAGGATGGTGGCCCCGCTGAGGTTGACGCGGACCTTCTGTGATCGGGTTGTGAGGTTGGTCAGGCACAGGGCCAGGCTCAGGTCGTGGCCCAGGACAGGAGGCTCCAGCAGCTTGAACTTGCCCGTGACACTGGGCTTGGTGGCTGGCTCCAGGAGGTCCTCACGCCAGAGACCGCGTCCTCCAGCCCTGCGCACCCGGTCTCTCCGCCCGCGGGTTTCCACGCTGAACAGCTTCCTCACGGCCTTGCGATATACCTGTCTCTCCTTCCGGGACCCTGTGGGCACCTCACACGGTCAGAGCTGAGCACTGCTTCGAGCACTGCTTCCCCTCACCCTGCTCCCACCTCCTCTTCTCCCCTCTCTTTTCAGGGCAAGACAGTTACTCCAAGCACCTTAATCTACTGCCACTGTCCAGGGAACCCATGGGCCTCTCGACACCTCAGGTCATCGCCTTGGATTCTCACACTATTCACATAGTTTAATCCTTTTTTCAACAACGGTAAGTCAGGATATTGCACATAAACATACACACTTCCACGTTCTCTGACTACTGGGTCTGAGGCCTCATATAATAGCTGACTCTGATAGAGATAGACCTACATGAGTTAGGTCTGCATTAGAGCTTAACATTTGAAAAACAACAACTCTTTGCCACCGAGCTAGAACTGACTCATAGCTGAACCCTCCAGGGGTTTTCAGGGTCTGTAAACCCCACAGCAGGAGATTTACCCATCTATCTCCAGAAAAGTAGCTGGTGGATTTGAACTGAAGGCCTTTGGGTTGGCAGCACAACTCCTTACCCACTAGGCTACCAAAGGCTATGGTTATTAGGGGAGCTTTAAATCCATTTCTATTCTACACGCAGGCTCTGACACCATCTGCTCCTCTTTCTGACCTGCTGGTGTCTTAGTACTAAGCCAGTGCAGCACTCACTGTTTGTTGGCTGCTTTTCACTTACAGACATTCTAGTTTTGGTGGCTTAGTGGTAAGAGAACATGCTGCCATCCCAAATGGACATGGTTCAAATCCACTAGATGCTCCATGAGAAAAAGATAGGCAATCTCTTCCTGTGGGATTTACTGCCTCTGAAAATCTGCTGGAGGATCAGCTATGAGTTAGTTCAAAATTGATGGTATACAACAACAACAACAACATTGACTCCTAATAAGGAGTCCTTGGGTATCACAAATTAAGTGATGGGTTAATAACTGACAGTGCGAACCCACCCAGAGGTTGTATCTAAGAAGGTTTTAGCTGCCTCAAGGAAGTTTCCTCCATGAGCTTTACAGCCATCTGAAAACCCACCAGAGGGTCAGCTGTGAGGTAGTTCTGACCCCTGAGCAATGAGCTTGAGTTTATTGCCATTCCCGCATCTGTGACTGGATCTGGCCCCTGGCAGTGTGCTGTTACCCCGCTGACACCATGCAGAGGCTGCCTCGCTGCCCTTACCTTCTGGGTACTTGTAGAGGCCTGTGATGTCCACTCGGGAGTTGCTGCCCACCGCCTTGGTGCTGATGCACCTCCCGATCTTCCTGGGGTCCGAGTACACGCGTTCGTGGCTCTCATCATCATGCCACAGCCAGGTGATGTAGTCGGCGTTGACCTCCGCAAACACGAACGGGCCGTCGTGGGCCAGGTGCACGTCGCCCTCGCGGATGGCGGTGACCGAGGCCGGGCCACACCGGAATATGCCTGGGCACAAGGGGTGGGCATGGCCAGCGAGGGTCGGGAAGATGAGGGGCCTGGGGACCCACCTGCCCCGCCTGTACCTTCACTCTCCTCCTGGGGCGTGGCGTCCAGAACCTGCCAGCCATTGTAAGAGGGGCCCAGGTCCTTCCGGGCAAACCAGCTCTCGTTCCAGACATGGAAATTCCTGCCACAGACAGGGGACAGGTGAGGTGGCCTAGGATGAGCACAGGAACCCAAAGGAGAGAGTTCTCCTCCTGTGAGCCCTATCTGCGGCCTAGTTCTTGTACTTTGTTCACACACTTTTATAAGCACGTGTTAGCTGAATACCAAGAACTTGTCCAAGGCGCCATCAACACAACTATAAATTAGACAGGAATTAGATATCCTACTTTGTGCAGTTTATAAACAAATGGGACAGGTGAGGAGATAGACAACTCTATTAAGCTAGTGGATAAATAACATAAATACAAGTAACAATAAAAGCTATCGCAAAAGAGGAGCTTGAGGCAGAGGATAGCGGCTGGGGATGTGCTCCAGATAAACGACATCTAAATGGGACCTAAATGAGAAAGAGCAAGGTACGGGGAGAGTCAAGGGAACCGTGTTAGGGCAGAGGGAACGGCATGTGCGAATCTCCCAAGACCTGAAAACGTTTGGTGTGTTCAATGACCAGAAGGTGTGTGGGTGAGTCTGGGGGAAGGCAGGCCCATGGGGTTGGGACAGGCTTCAGCTTATGCACCCTCTGTGGGCTTCTCACACAGAAGAGATTGTATTCGGAAATTTCCCTGTCAAAGATGACAAGACCAGGGCAAGTGCCAGGAAGTGAATGCATCAGCACAGGGAGCAAATGGCAGAGGAGAGCCTGAGTTCCTCGTTGCCTGACTGCATCTTCACAGCTGACCCTGAAGGAAGAAACAGGCCTTGGGAAAATGGGAGACCTCTGGCCCCCTCGGTGGTGACAGATGGCAGCATTGGAAAGGAGTGGCTCTTGGTTCTGCATGAGACCATGGGCAGAATATGCTTTTTGATATTTCTCAGGGAGTGGGAGAGTGTTCCTTCAGGGATAGGGTGTGATAAGAACAGAGGAGAGGAGGAATGAGAAGAAAAGGGGGATAATCTGAGAGTGGAGGCTAGGTAGAGGAAAAGATACCAGGGCCTGTTCCCCTGGGGATGACGGATGGACGGACGCGAGGCTGTCTGTATGTCTGCAGTGTATGTTGCTGTTGAGTACCATCACCCGACTTTCCAGCAGGTTTTCAGAGGCAGGAAAATGCACAGCAGGAGGATGCCCCCTCTTTGGTGGATTTGAACCACATAACTTTGGGTTGGGAGCACAATTCCTTTCCATCAAGTCACCACAGCTCCCATCTGTGATGCATACTCTCTTCCCTAATCTTTTGGAAGTTGACCCAGATTTGCCTGGGTATGAACAGACATTCAGACAAGGTGATTCACCAAAGCCGTGTTTGTAAGAAGTGAAAGTTTAGAAGCAACTCAGATATCCATCCATATGGGATAGTAAAAATGATTTCTCCTCACCTCCCCAACCCCCGCTCCAATGCAACTAAGCAGTAGGGAGTTGTGGACGTGGAGTCCATAATCTCTGGTGGTTCAAATCACAGCCGTTCTGTGGGAGAAAGATGAACAATCTCCTTTTGATAGGTTTGTTGTTATTGTTGTTGTGTGCCATTGAGTCACCTGCAATTCATATCGACAACAGCCCTAAACCCTGCTCTATCCTGTGCCAATCTTATTGTCTCTGACACACCTACTCCCATTATCCCAGTCATTGAATCAATTCATCTCATTGAGGGTCTGCCTCTCTTGCACTATCCCTCCACCCTTCCAAGCATGATGTCTTTCTCCAAGGACTGGTCCCTCCTTGCAACATGTCCAAAGTATGCCAGACGAAGCTTCAGAATCCTTGCCTCCAAGGAGCAGCCTGGTTTCACCCTCTCTAGGATGAACTTGTTCTCCTAGCAGTCTGTGTTATATTCAATACTCTTCTCCAGGACCACAGCTCAAAGGCACCAATTCTCCTTCTATCATCCCTAGTCATTGTCCAGCTTTCTGATGCATAGCAAACTTGGAAACCCACTGGAGGGTCAGCTATGAGTCGGACTCAGTGACAGTGAGTTGGGTGAGGAAGATGCAGGACAGGTTCATATCCTGCTCTTCCATTCATTAGCTGTGTGATCTTCAGCTAGTTGCTTAACCTATCTGTGTTTGTGTTTCTTATTTATTCAAAGAGATACTACTTACTGATAAGGTTGTTTGGAGGGATGTGTGAGCTAATTCACAAACTACTTAGGACTGGGTCTGGTTGACTAGGTACTCATTTGCATGATGTTATTACTAAGACTTTAAATGTCTTAGACTAAAACTAAAGAAGCTCCTCCTATACTGGAATTGTTAAATGTATGAGGAAGAACGGATAGACATTTTGCTGGCAGGTGGGTGCGGAGGGGGACAGACACATGTCCTATTATCTGCTGAGCTTCTCTCTGAAAGGCTGTGTGAGAAGCTGGTGGTGTTCTGTCCCTGGAGAGAAGGACGAGAGCCTGGGGAAATGACGGGAAGAGTTCTCACTGTAAATGGTTTCATAGCTTTTGAATATTAACCTACACTATGAGTCTCCTGTTTTACAAAATGAGATGATAATGAACTTTTAAAGCACTGTTTGAAGAGTTTTGGCTTGTGCTCACTGAGGAGGAGGCTGTCTCCTACCTGGGCGGCCACAGCTCAGAGGCCCAGGCAGTAGATGGGGGAGCAGATGCTCCGTGCTGAGGTGACTTCCTGGGGAGCACGGGGCAGGCTCTGGTTCTCACAGAGCTCGGAGTTCAGAATCAGGTTCAAGGTCTAGGACCCCTTCTGCCTGTGGGTTCTGTGTGTGCAGATACTCCCTCTCTTCTCAGAAGAGGAGTGCTGTATCTAGGGACGCCCCCCTTTCCACCCAATGGCACAGGGTGCTCCCTGCTCCCCCAGAACAGGCTCAGACTCAGCAGGGGGCGGTTCTAGATCTGAATTTGTTCCTCCTCGGCTGTGATGTAGGACGAGGCCCTGATACACATGCTGGGCCTCAAACAGCCCCATCCAGTCCCCTCAACTCACCACATGCTGTCCTCCGTCAGGTCATCCAGCGTCCGCCCGTAGGAGTCCACGTATTTGTCTACACTCAGGTTCCTGTCCGTGTCATGGGCCGAGTTGAAGTTGGACACTACCCGAGTGGCAATCCCCAGGCACCTGAGGACTGGAGAGGAGGAGGCTGGAGAGGCTCAGGGACAGGCCAGGGCACTGGATTCGGAGATCGAGGTCTCCTCTGGCTGGCAGAGGCCCATTTCCAGGCCCACATCCTCCCTGTCTCCACTGGCCCGTCTCCTCTGATGGGCTGAGCCTCCTGTCCACCCTCGTCTGTGCATCCTTTCTGGCATCTCCTGGAGACTCTACTGTGTCCCCTGGTAGAGTAGACAGGACTGACACTGGTCAGCCACAGTGGCCACAGACTAGAGCCTGCTCTAGAGGAGAACCTGAGGCCTTGGGGTCCACATGATCAGCCCAAGGGCACACAGTGAGGCAGAGGCAGAGAGAGGTGGGATCCCAAAAAGAAAAGATCAGAAAGAATTTGAACAAACTATCTGCTCATCAGCCAAGTCTCCAGATAAAGACATGGATCATGAACAGATACGTGAGAAGCCAGAATCTCAGACAATGCTCTACTGTGAGAGGTTTAAACTGCACAGAGAAGCCCTGGGGAATGGGACACGATGGGAGGTAGGGGAAGGAAGTGAAGGCAGAGAAAAGCTGAGAGGGATGAGGCACCAGGGTGGGGAGGCTGTCTTCACAGAGTCCTCAGTCCCAGCTGATAGTTCAGATCAGAGACGGATCCCCAACTCACAAATTCATGTGTGAAAGAAGATGGTCATTTGAAACAAATTAAAACAAGTGGATTGTGATCTATGCAAAGGAAGAAAGCTCTGTGGGGGGCACAGGAGCTTCTTGCTGGGGGTGGGGTGAGGTGGGGGGATGGGGGGGTGGGATGGGAGTGGCGTGGGTACCTGTGCACATGACTCCAGCGAAGACCCAGCATTGGCCGTATTTGACTGGCTTGTACCTGCCCTTGAACCACTTCTGCAGGATGGCCACGCTGCCCTGCCAGTGCAGCGGGCTGGTACCACCGCCGTACTTGCCCTGCCACTGGCCTTGCACCACGCCCCGGTCATTGTTGCTGTTCACCTGGGAAGGAGGGCACGGGTCCACAAGCAGGCGGGGTTCCCGAGGTCACTGCCCAGCTCCCATCTGGAAGCTTCCCCACCCCATCTCCCACTGAAATCATCTCCTACTTGGGACTCACCTTTGATTTTTAAATAGTCTGAAAAATCAGGGCATGTTGAGTTAACATACTTGCTTTTTTGGTACTAATACTCGTTTCTAACGATCTCCTACTTGTATCCTCTGTTGTACAATTTTAGCATACCATTATTTAAGGAGTCTACCAGTTGGGACTCTTGCTGGTATGCTTCTAGAAGCAGCTAACATTTATTAAGTGTTTAGTAAGTGCCAGCACTGTCCCTAAGGGCTTGGTGTATATGATATTAACATGTCTGTAATTGATGCCTTTGAGCTGTGGTGCTGGAGAAGAGTATTGAGGGTACCATGGACTGCTAGGAAAACAAACAGATTCATCCTTAAAAGGGTCAAACCGGGCTGCTCCTTGGAGGCAAGGATTCTAAGGCTCCATCTAACATACTTTGGACATGATGCAAGGAGGGACAGGTCCTTGGAGAGGGACATCATGCTTGGTAGGGTGGAGGGACAGCGCAGAAGGGGAAGGCCCCCTATGAGGTGGATTGATTCAGTGACTGGGGTAATCGGAATGCGTGTGTTGGAGACAGTGCGATTGGCACAGGACAGAGCAGAGTTTAGGGATGTTGTACATAGGGTCTCTATGAGTCGTAAGCAACTCGATGGCACATAACAACAACAACAACAAACAACATGATTACAGCTTAGTTCTGCCATAACCAGGGTCCTCACAGCCCTTAGGGGCTGCAGTGAATGATGGACACAGTTTAGAGTGTATTTTTTTTTCCAGTTGATAAAATAAAAGCTCAGAGTAGGTAAGGGCCTTGTCCAAACACACAGCAAATTAGTAAAACGGTGACTTATGAACCCAGATCTTTAACTTGGGAGCCTGGACTCTTATCCACTCTATGGCCTGTAATGCTCTATGGTTTGGATTGGCTGCTGCTTGTAGTGATGTCTCTTTCAACACGACCCCTGTAAGCTCTTGAAAAATTAAGAGCATCAAATACAAGAAAGGTATCTTTCTCCATTTTTGAGTCCTAGATACCCACCCATAACCTTGAACCTTGGCTGTGGCCTCCATTAGGGTTAGGGTTAGGGTTAGGGTTAGGGGCATGATAGATTAACTACAGCACTTCTCCAGAGCCAGATATATGTCCTCTCCCCTTGAATCTGGGCTCCCCTCCCCTTTAGCTGCTTTGATCAGGGGCTCTGGTGGCAGGAATGTGGCCAGTAACCAAGTCCAGGCCTTCCGAGCCTGAGCTCACGTCTCCTCTATTGATGGTCACACTTGCTACTGTGTGAGAAGTCTGACTACCTTGGAGACTGCCATGCTGGGAGGAAGCCCAAGCTAATTGCATAGAGAAGCTACATGGAAATGAAGAGAAAATGCTTGCTCCAATGACCTCAACGTGGGTGTCATTCATGACTACCCTCTTGGATATCCTAGTTTTTTCAGAGTATGTGACACGGAAGAGAATTAAGGGTCCAGGAACAGCCAAAACTAAGGTCTCTGATATATACGGTCCTGATCAGACCATCCTGGGAATCTGCAGCTGTTCAGTCCCCAGTCAAAACATCTCGGAGCAAACACAAGCCATTCTTAAGGTACCCTGCTCAAGTTCCTGGCCTACAGTCTTGTAAACGTAATGAGTGTTTGTTTTATGCCTCTGAGTTTTGGAGCAGGTTGCCCTGTAGCAATGGAGAATCAGAATGAGGGTGCTTTGGGGGGGGGAATGACAGTGTGGTATTTTTCTGGGAGAGAACATGCAGGGCCAGCAGAGGACAACTCACCATGGCACTGATCACTCTGGTGACGTAGATGGGGTCATGGCGGCGGGACACGTCAGTGGCTGGGTCGTCCTGATGACTGGGATTTCGGTCCAAAATGGAGAGGCAGATGTCCAGGATGTCTTCCTCAAACTGCCTTCCAGAAAGACTATGCTTAGTGGCCAGTGCCTCGCCCATGTTGCCAGACTCCCCAACATCCCTCAACTGGTCACTTGCATCAATATGCAGAGTTCACCCTAATCCTACCTTTAAAGATATTCTGGAACATTAGCAAATCTCAGAAAACCCTCCTCTGTCACTTGGAGACCAAAAGCTTAGCCTGAGCCATGCCTTCCTCTGGTTCTAGAACCTTCCATGGCTCTCCATCACTCACAGGACAGCCACCAAGACTCTCGAGCTGTATCTACCTCATCGATATGCTCCTTTGATCTATTTAATGTTTTAAAATATGTTTGAATTAGTTTGTTGGTTTTTTGCTTTGGTTTTTTGTTGTTTTTTTTTTAAACCACTGGGATATTTTTTTACATAAAAATGTGTTGTGACCTCTGAATATTTGGAAGCTCAAGGAACTGGGCACTGAACAATGGTCACCCCTTACTCAGACCCTAACTTTCAATATAGCATCTCTGTTAAGCCCCTAAACTCCATATGGTAATTTCCTGGACTTCTGGGCACTCCTTACATTGCTCTGCCTGATATTGTTAGAGGTTTGACTTCCTTCCCCTCTGGTTCCTGAACTCCAGCAGACAGGACGCTGTTACAGAATCTCAGATGTTTCCATACTTCCCATCTCCACACTGCTGCGGCTCCTGTTCCCTCCGTCCAGATTCTGCCCAACTTCAGAGACCTGACTCTCAAGGTCGATTCCCAGACCAGCAGCAACAGCATCACCTGAGAGCTTGTGAGCCATGCAAGGTCTCAGCCCTGCCCCCGACCTACAGAAACTCTGGGAGTGGAGCCCAGCACCCTTGTTAATGGACTCTCTGTGGGATTCTCAGGTAAGCTTTTATCCTTCCAAGGCAGAATGGAACTATCCGGTTTCCTTTAATAGACAAATAAATGGATGAATGGACTGGCACCAGAAGCCAGCCCTGCTTGTCCCTGTTTGGTGGGAAGTGAGCAGACAGAGGCTCCCTAGGATGACTGACCGCCCCACTGAGCCTGCACCCGTGTGGCCTGTTCCCCTGGAGACCTGCCCGTAGTTCCAGCCCTGGGCTTGGATGTGCTTCTCCACGCCTCGGAAGATGACACCGCTGTCGTTGAGCACATACTCCTGTCGTTCCTCTTCTGAAGCCAGAAACACATCGTCCTCTGAAAGGCAGGCATCAGGCCCAATGTGGGCAGGGGATCTGGACGTGGTGGCCTGGGGAAGGGGCTGCCATATTGGGGGTCTGGGGCGGGACGGTGCCCAGGGGCTGACGGGGTGGAAGAGAACACCATGGAGTGTTCTTTTCCTCAGGCAAGGACCAACCCCAGTCCAACCCAGAATTTTAGGCATCCTAATACCTTTGGGTGACCTGCTTTGATTCCAAAAGCAGCCTGTATTACTTAAATATTAATAAGAAGATTCCCTATTAGTAATAGGATCCTGCTTATTCTTTCCAATGTAATTGGTACTTTTTAGACAATTCTGTTGTTGTTATTAAATCAGAACTGACTCATCGCTTACCCTCTGATGATTTTTTAAGAGGCTGTAAATCTCATGGGAGGAGACTGCCCATCTTTCTCCCACGGAGCAGCTGATGGATTCAAACCTCCTGCTTTGGGGTTGGCAGCACAACTCCTTACCCACTAGACTGCCAGAGCTCCCTTTAAAATACACTCAAGGTGTGAATTTTCACCATAATCTTGGGAGGCAGGCACTGTTATTAGTCCCATTTTGCAGAAAGCAGAGCTATGTCTACTTCAGGGTCTGTCTGATTTCATTATGCAGGTTCTTACTCACTCTAAGCTCTATCCCTCCCTGGCCACCTGGTACCCTCACTGCCTACTGACTTCGGCACATGGATTCCAGCCTTCCTCCCTCTGACCTGGTCTTTTGTTACACCTGTTGTATGGTCCTTTGCCCAGTCTTCCAACTCCCTCGGTCTGGCTCTTGTCCAGCTATCGGCATTCACCTCCTTGACCTTTAACTTACTTCCCTGACCTCCTTTGGTTTCCCCCCAAAGCATGCCTGTTTCCTCAAACAGCTCTCAGGAACATCCCTGACTCCTGGGCAGCATCTCCTACCTGGGCACCATGGGTTGAAAAGGAGAATAAACTCCCCCAGCTTCTTGTTGTTTTGCTTGCGGCGGGAGGAAGGCCTGGCACTCAGCCGGTAGTGGCCAATGACAGCGTTTGGGGGGCTGATGAGGCTGACAGTCATGGTGGTCTCTGTCTGAATCTCCTGCACTGCGGTCCAGGCAGGGTCCTCCCCCGGCTCCAATGTCTGGAACACAGCTTTGGTGCCGAGGTCCTCAGAAGCCTGGGGACCTGGAGCAAAAGGAAGGGGCTCAGATTTGAGGTACAGCCCTCCCACAGGGACTTTTATATCCAGTATTTGAGCCAGAGTACTGACGAGCAACAATGTCAGTCTGGAGACTAAGGTGCACCTGATCCAGGCCATGGTCTTCACAATTACTTGCTATGCATCAGAGAGATGGACAATGACTAGGAATGATAGAAGGAGAATTTATGCCTTTGCACTGTGGTACTGGAGAAGAATATTGAATGGACTGCTAGGAGAACAAACAAGTTCATCCTAGAGAGGGTGAAACCAGGATGCTCCTTGGAGTCAAGAATTCTGAAGCTTTGTCTGATATACTTTGGGCATGTTGCAAGGAGGGACCAGTCCTTGAAGAGGGATGTCATGCTTGGGAGGGTGGAGAGGAAGACCCTCGATGAGATTTATTGACTCAGTGACTGGGGTAATGGAGGTGGGTTTGTTAGACACAATGAGGTTGGCTCTGGCTAGAGCAGGGTTCAGAGCTGTTGTACAGAGGGTCTTTGATGGCACCTAACAACAGCAATCTGAGTCAGACGAGAGATGCAGGATATTGGACACAGGACCACAAATAAGCCCGTCCCAGCGCTGGCCATCAGGGAGGGCTGTGAGGGCGAGTACCTGTCTCCACTGTCATGATGAGGGTCTCCTCAGAGTCCAGGGCTCGGCTGAAAAACACTGTCATCTCGAACGGCTGGCCCCTGCGGGCTACCAGAATGGGGCCAGGGAACTCGTGTGTGTGGTGGGCGGTGCCATTCTTCTGCCGCTGCCAGTCCACCTTGGTAATTCTTATGCCTGGGAGGAAAAGAAAAAGATGAAGCCACTTCATTAAAATTTATCTCCATCATTGCTGTACCTGCCAGCTATTTGCCTCATTCAAGCAATCACTCGCTCATTCTGTCACGACGGATCACATGGACTCTCATTGCCAGGCTGATGGCCTATCAGTGGACAGGACAGAGGTGGTCATGTCTTCGACACAGCATGGCGAGCTCGGGTGGAGCAACGGTCAAAGGCATAATCACTGGGCTCAGTCATCCTGGGTTCTAATCCTCAGCCATCTCATAAATGATGCTTCACTAGAGGGGTTCCAGCTTGCCTCTGTGAAGGACGGGAATAATAAGAATACGCTCTAGGGCAACAACAGTATGTGATTTAGAGCTCTGTGAACACAGGACACATTCTATCCAGACATGCAGGGGTGAGAGATGCTAAGTGGGTGGGTCTGTAAATGACTCATTATTTCCACACACGCCATCAGGGAAAACACACTGAGGGGAAGGCGAGACCAGAGGAGCTGACCAGCTCTGGGGGCGACAAGGAGAAGGTTGTGCTGAAGCTGAGTCTCAAACTCAAGAGGTGGACAGCACATCTGACCTGGATTCTAAAATCCTTCAGCTTGAGGGTCATTCACTCAGTAACACGAGTGGAGCCTGATTATGTCAGGCATTTTATTTTGTCAGATGTGGCAAACCTGTGGATCTGAGAAATACACACTAGTCCTGCACTTGAATAACCTTAAACTGTTGTTGTATACTGTTGAGTTGGAATCAACCCATAGCTCACCGTGTGGTGGGTATTCAGGGGCAGTTAATCGCACGGGAGGAGATTGCCCACCCTTCTCTGGTGGAGCAGCTGGTCTGGCCTCGAACAGCCTGCCTTCAGAACTGCAGTGCAGCTTCTTGCCACAAGGTTACCGGAGCTCCCTAACCTCAAATTTAGCTTTGAAAATTTCTACAAGGACACAGCTTTGGGGGCTCCAGGAGGAATCATGGCAGGAGATGTGGGGAGAACTTGCTGACTTGTGAACTCTGAGAGAAAGCTGAAGTGTGTGTGGGGGTGATGAGTTGGAGGGGTGGGTACAGGTCTGTTCCCCTCTGTCACTCCTCTTGAGGTAACCACTCCACTGCCAATTCCAACTCCTCGTGACCCTCCATTGAATTTCTGAGGCCGTAAATTTTTACAGGAGGAGACTGCTCACCATTCTCTCACAGAGTGGCTGGTAGGTTTGAACCACTGACCCTTGGGTTAACAGCCAAGACATGTTATGCGTTACATCATCGGGACTCCTGCTTGAGCTTCATTGGCCATTTTACTGTTACTTGACCTGGCCAGGAGCACCCATTTCTGGGGCTTTTGCACAGATGACTCATATCTTGCCCCCTCACTTCCTCCAGGCCACCTTGGACTGAGGTTTCCCCTGACCAGTCTTTCTTTCTTAAACTCTTAAATACTATTCAACCATCACTGCTGTCTCCTTCCCAGTTTCCCCATCACTCTTAGTACAAGCTAGTGCTGTACAGAAGCAGAGATGAGTCCTGTCCAACTTGTGAGTTTTGGCGTGAAAGAATGATTGTTGTTTTCAACCGCGGACTGCCAAAAGAACAAACAAATCTGTTTTGGAGAAAGTACAACCACTGTGTTCCTCAGAGGCGGAGATGGGGAAGTTCACTATTGGTGACACATATTTTGAGCGTGTTGTCAGGTGGGACCAGACCTTGGACAAAGATGTGCTGGGAGAGGTGGAGGGTCAGAGAAGGAGGGGAAGAGCCTCAGCAGGGTGGATTGGCACAGTGGGCCGGAGCACGGCAGAGATTTTGAGGACGGAACAAGGCTCGCAGGGTTGCTGTGAGTCATAGTCGACTCAATGGCACCTAAAAATATTATCAAATGTAGTTATGTAACAATTGATAACACAGAGGGAGCCCCAGTAACTAGGACTGACTTATCTAAAAGCCCGGTGAGTCTGTGACTCAAACTTAGATTTAATTAGCATCTGTCCATGTGACTTATTCATCATGTTGCAATCGTGGCTGTCAATTCATACTTGTTAAACTTCGCAACATGAAACTCTAGTGTCTGGGCAAAAACTCAGGATCTTTCTTCAATGGGAAGAGCTCTAGTGACTTCGTGGTAGGAAGTTGTGTGGTTCACCTGAGGTCACGCGTTTCGAATCCACGAGCTGCTCTGTAGGAGGAGGATGGCCAGTCTCCTCCCATGCAATTTACTGCCTCGGAGACGTGCTGGGGAGTCAGCTATGAGTCAGTTCTGACTTGATGGTAACCAACAACTCCAATGATAATAAAGGAGCTCTGATAGTGTTGCTCACACAGGGAGTTGCACTACTATACTAACCCAGAACTCTGGAAGTTCAAATCCACCAGTAGACTAAAGATGGACAATCTTCTCTTGAGAAATTTATGGCTTTTATCATCCCACTGGAGGGTCAGTGATGAGTCAGTTCTAACTAGATAACAATGAGTTTTGTCTTCAACAATACCCTTCAGTTTGGTGTTGTTATGTGCCGTCAAGTCACTTATGACTCATAGTGACCTTATGTACAATAGCCCTGAGACCTGCTCTATCCTGTGTCAACTTTACTGTCTCTGACACACCTACCCTCAATTACCCCAGTCACTGAATCAATCCATCTCACTGAGGGTCTTCCTCTCCTGCACTGTCCCTCCACCCTCCCAAACATGATGTCCCTCTCCAAGGACGGATCCCTCCTTGCGACAAGTCCAAAATATATCAGACAAAGCCTCAGGATCCTTGACTCCAAGGAGCAGCCTGGTTTCACCCTCTTTAGGACAAACCTATTTGTTCTCCTGGCAGTCCATGGTATATTCAACACTCTTCTCCAGCACCGCAGCTCAAAGGCATCAATTATCCTTCTATCATTCGTAGTCATTGTCCAGTTCTCTGATGCATACCAAGTGATTGTGAAGACTATGGCTTGGATCAGGTACACCTTAAGTCTCCAGACTGACATCATTGCTTTTCAGTACTCTGGCTAGGTCCCTGAAAGCCGACTTCCTCAATGCAATTGGTCTTTTGATTTCCTGGTTGCTGGGACCAAAAGAGTTGATTGTGGAACCAAGCAAACTAAAGCTGTTAATAATCTCAATCTCTTCACCATCTATCATAATGCTGTCAATTGGCCCAGGGGTAAGAATCTTTGCTTTCTTGATGTTGAGCTTCAATCCATATCGAAGGCTGCAGTCCTTGACTTTCTGCAGCAAGCACTTCAGGTCCTCCTCAGTTTCAGGAAGCAAGGTTGTATCTGCATAATGCAGGTTGTTGATGAGTCTTCCTCCAATCCTGATGCCACATTCCTCCTCATAGAGCCCAGTCTCCTGGATGATCTATTCTGTAGCATATAGATTGAAAAGGTATGGAGATAGGCCACACCCCTGGCGTACACCCTTCCTGATTTTACAAACTGCAAACCCTAAGTCAGAGACTGAGCAGGACAGGCCCACATGGTATGGAAGGTAACCCCCCTCCAACTATGATAATAAGAACTGCAAGATGAATAACAAACACATTACAGTATGTCTCATGAGTCAGACACTTCTCTTGCAGCTTTGTACTTATGAAGCCATTAAATCTTTATAACCAGCTCTTGAAGCAAATACTATTATCCCTCCCATTTTACAGATAAGGGATCTGCGGTCAGAGAGATTAAGCAACTTGACCAAGGTCACGCAGCTAGTAATAGTGATATGGGATGCTATTAATCGTGATACCAGGAATCTGTGCTCTCTGCCTTCCTCATGACCATGTGTTGAGACCAGGGATGGCCAAATCACATGTAGTCAGAGATGTGGAATGGAGAAAACACAGGCTTTGGATGCAGACAAATTGGAGCTTTAATCTCAAGTCTGCCATGCTATCATGTCACCTTGGGCAAGTCTTTTAATTTCTGAGACTCAGTGCCCTAATCTAAAAAAAAAAAAAATTGAGCTAGACCATAGAAATTCCATATGGTCCAGCTATTTCACTCCTTGGAAAACACTCTGAAAAAATTAGGACTGAGACACAAAGGAGATTTGTACACTAATGTTCATAGCAGTGTTATTCATCACTGCATGAACATTGAAACAGCCCAAATGTCCAACCACAATAGAATGCACTGAGAAATTGTGGCACATTCATACAATGGAATACTATACAGCACTCAGGAGTAATGATTTAAAAAATTACTACATAACTTGGGAGAGATTGGAGAGCATTATACTCAGTGAACAAACTCAGTCCCAGAAAGACAAATACTCTTTGAGACTGTTATTGTAGCAATAGATGACTAGTAAAACATGTATGAGGATCCAAGGGAGGAGGGGAGGGACAGAGGGGTGAGGATGGGCAAGGGGGTAATCATAGGGTCATACAATTTGATGGACGCGGGGAGAGATGGGTAAAGGAAATGGGAAAGATCTGGCCAGGATCTGGAAAAGACAATAATAGAGTGCATAGTTCAGTGTTGATTAATTTTATAAAATACACTGAATTGGAATGATTGTATGAAACACAATGTGAATGAAGGATAATGTGAAACACAATGTATACAAACTTTGCAAGCAAACCAATATAAAATAAAAAATGAAAGAAACATTAAAAATTGTAATGTTGTTATGTGCCGTCAAGTCATTTGCGACTCATAACGACCCTATGCACAACAGCCCTAAACCCTGCTCTATCCTGCACCAACCGCACTGCCTCCGACACACCCATCCCGATTACCTCAGTCACTGAATCAATCCATCTCATAGAGGGTCCTCCCCTCCTGCCCCGTCCCTCCACCCTCCCAAGCATGATGTCCCTCTCCAAGGACCCGTCCCTCCTGGCAACATGTCCAAAGTATGTCAGGCGAAGCCCCAGAATCCTTGCCTCCAAGGAGTAGCTTGGTTTAATCCTCTCCAAGATGAATCTGTTTGTTTTCCTGGCAGTCCATGGTACATTCAGTACTCTTCTCCAGCACCACAGCTCAAAGGCATCAACTCTCCTTCTGTCCT